TTTTGTAAATTACTGAAATTTTTTTGAAAGTACTGTTTTTTTTAGAATTGTCGGAAATATTTTTTTCCAACATTACGTTAAATTCCTTATTTTTTTTCTTCTGGAATTACTGGAATTCTTATTGAAATTACCGGAGATAATTGCTTCTCAACATTTATATGTAAATATCTATATTACGTCGAATTTCTTAGAATTATCGGAATTAATTTGGAATTACACAAATTATTTTTGAACTATGAAAATTAAGTTGGAATTACAGAAATTAATTTGGAATTATAGGAATTAATCTGAAAACAATCGAATTACGATGGATTATTGGAATTACGGAAATTTCAGTGGAATTTTTTTAGAATGACAGAAATCGGTTTGAATTTATGGAATTACTGAATTTTTTTTTATAATTAGCGAAGATAAGTACTTTTTCAAGATTACGTTGAATTTCTTAGAACTATCGGAATTAATTTAGAATTTCAAGAATTAACTTGCAATTACGGAAATTAAGTTGGAATTATAGGAATTAATTTAGAATTATAGAAATTAATTTGAAAACAATCGAATTACGATGGATTATTGGAAATTACTGGAATTTCAGTGGAATTATTTAGAATGACTGAAATCGTTGTGTATTACTGGAATTTTCCTGGAATTACTGGAATTTTTTTTACAAGTATCGAAGATAAGTACTTTTTCAACATTACGTTGAATTTCTTAGAACTATCGGAATTAATTTAGAATTACAAGAATTATTTTGGAATTACAAAAATTAATTTGCAATTATGGAAATTAAGTTGAAATTACAGGAATTAATTTAGAATTATAGGAATTAATCTGAAAATAATCGAATTACGATGGATTATTGGAATTACGGGAATTTTAGTGAATTTTTTTTAGAATGACTGAAATTGTTGTGAATTACTGGAATTTTTCTGGAATTACCGGAATTTTTTTTATAATTATCGAAGATAAATACTTTTTCAACATTACGTTGAATTTCTTAAGACTTTCGCAATTAATTTAGAATTACATTTACGGAAATTAAGTTCAAATTAAGTTAGAATTACAGGAATTAATTTAGAATTATAGGAATTAATCTGAAAACAATCGAATTACAATTACTGCAATTTCGGTGGAATTTTTATTTAATTTCGGTGGAATTTATGTAATTGAAATTAGTTGTGCGAATTTTTTTCAAGTTAACGGCTCTTCGATAAAAGGTGTAAAACGATTTGAATGCGAAAGATGTTAATCCACTTTGGTTCAACTTTAATTTTTGCGCTTCGAATCTTCGCAATCCTTTCAATTCTGTCTCGAAATTAATGAAAAATATGGTCGATTGTTTCAATTTCTCGCGACGTCTCAGCGCTTTCATCGCGCTTCCGCCTTGCAACACTTAATCGTGAAATTCTGGATGAAAAATTCAACTTATGAATCGTCTGAATTCCGCCGTTTAAGCGCATTTAATTAGATTGGAAGGCCCAGTATTTATCAAAATTAAACAAGAAATAAAGTGACTCGCAGCAGCCCTTACCATTATTCACTGGCGAATAAAAGATGAGCCGCAATCAATTTACATTAACTTGCATATCACCGTTTTGGTTAATCACGTAATAAAACCTTTTTGTTTGCTTTGCTACACCGATGAACGTCTGACAAAAGCKCTGATAAATTACACGTCGTTGGACGGACTTTTMAGTTTTGTTTATTTTTGGTTTGAGTTAGTTCGCAGACGGTTGAGCAAAAACAAAATTTGAATTGTGTCATTAAAATTTTTTACGAAAAGTGACAACAATTTTATCTTGGCTCATTTTTCTTCGTAGAAAATATGCCGCATATGGTGATAATAAAAGCATAATTAAAAAATTACACACTTTAACCAAATTTTACGATCCACAATAGCATTGTTTGTCTACGAAATAAAAACTGAAAGACTGCCATAAGAACCCTTATCGTGCAACGTGGCTTTAATGAAAGTACTTTAGTCCACGTTTATTGTTTCACATTTCACTTAACCACAAAGTAAACAAGAACAAGAAAAAAATACGAGCTCTTGATTAGACTGGACAATAAAATGTTTATTAACATTTTTAATAAAAGCAAATTAAATTAAGTGAAGTGTTACTACATTTGAAAATAAAAACGACGAAAATGAATTTTGAGGAATGTAAAAGAGAATGAAACAATATGTCAAACAAATAAAGCGAAAAATTGCAATCGAGAACGCAGCTCATTTTATTTAAGGAATTTTCAAGTATCCATAAATTGTGAAGGTATTTTTAAGAAAGCAATGAAACAGAAAAAAATATGAAATGTGTAAAGTCCGAAGACCAGAAATATGTATTCGTTTTGAATCTCAAATCATTCGAAATCCCACTTTAAATAATGCAATTTAAAACAACTATCAGAAGAAAAAAATAGTTTTTGCGCTTTGTCTAAATTTTTTTCGAAATAATAATTAACTGGTGGAATATTATCGAAATGGTTTCTAGATGTTTCAAATAAACATTTTTTTTTGATTTGAAGCAAATCTGGAATTACTAAATTTATCTTTGGTTTATTTATTGGAATGACTGAAGTTATTTGTGAATTACTGGACTTTTTTGGAATTGCTGGAAGTCTCCTTGAAATTTTCGGTAATGAATTTCTAAAAATTACGTTAAATTTTTTAGAACTTTAAAAATTAACTTGGAATTACATAAATTATTCTGGAATTAGGAACATTAAGTTGAAGTTATAGAAATTAAATTGGAATTAAGTTGGAATTACAGGAATTACTTGCAAATTATAAGAATTAATCTGAAAATAATGATGAAATTACTCGTACATAGATTATTACTATTATTGGAATTTTGGTAGACTTTTTTTTATCTTTGTTCTTTTTTTATATGTGAATTACATAAGTATTTCTAAATTACTGGATTGTTTTGGAATTATCAGAGATAATTTCCTTTCAAAATCATATTGAATTTCTTAGAACTATCGCAATTATTTTGGAATTAAAAGAATTAATTTGAAAACAATAGAATTCTGGAAATTCGGTGGAATTTTTCAAAATTACTAAAATATCTGTGAATTACGTAATTATTTCTGAATTACTGGTATTCTTTTTGGAATTATCAAAGATAATTTTTTTTCAAAATTACGTTGAGTTTCTTATAACTATCAGAATTAATTTGGAGTTATCGGAATTAATGGAATGGAATTTTGATGGATTATTGGAATTACTAGAATTTTGGTGAAATTAATTTTTTGGAATTGAAATTAGTTGTATACAATTTTTTTAAATTAACGGCGCCACAATATTTTTTTATTGTGGTAATTTTTAAAAATTTTGCGACAATATGTTGAATTTTCTCGTTTTTTGAATTTATTTACACACTTATTATTTAAGTAGAAAATGATCTTTCATCATTAATTAATAACTAAATAGTCACAAAAAGATTTCTGTCATCAATGATTTCCTAAAAGGTCATTTTAAATATCAAAATTAGATCATATATTTATACAAAAAAAACAATTTTTAATTTTTATTATTACGGATTATTTTTACAAACATATATATTTATATTTTATTTTTTATAAGTGTCTCCTTGTCTGTAATGGAATTTCTAATAAATATGATTTAAATAAACACTGAAGTGTTTTGAAGTCAAAGAAAATTAAATTTAAACTCGGGTGTCATCGAAGAAAAATGAAACAATTTTAAATATAAAAAAGAATGAAACAATTTGTCAAACAAAGGAAGAAATTCCAAGCGAGGACACAATTCATTTTATTTAAGCGATTTCAAAGAATCCATAAATTGTGTTTTTGTGGGAACGCAATAAAACAGATCGAATCCACAAAAAATGTAAAGATGAATTAACTCTGGAATATAAAAATRTGATTGCTTTTGAGCCTTAAATCCTTCAAAAACCCACTTAAAAAAATACTTTTTTTACCTGAATGGTTTGGTGGTCCCTTATTAGTTTCTTGACACAGTTAAAAACAAAGGTGAAGCACATTCCTGCCAAAATCAAAGAAAATATGACCATGATAACGATGATGTGGTCGTCGTTCAACGACAGCGATTTAGCGGCCTGAAACGACAAACATATTAGACCCATCAAATCCCCTGGGGTTGTCGAGGATAAACGCGGATTTCCACTTGTCCTAGTCGTAATTTTTTGATTCAAAGCGTGAAAATCCCGCTTAACCTTGCAAGTRAGTCAACAAAGGGTTTAATTCACATAACACACGAGGACAGTCAACTACACAACTACGAGAGTGCGTCAAAAATTCCCTCCGAGAGTTGGGGAAGTGCTTCCATTATAGTTTTAATGGAATTCGCACGTTAATGGCTCGCAATTTTAAAGACAGTCTACGACAAGCTTTTTGGGGTAAAAATAAGAGTGGTTCAAACAAAACAAAACCAACAAACGGACTTAGCCTAGACACTAACCACTCCTCCCTAAAACAAACATAACAACATTTCAGACAACACAAAAACTGATTTCGCGARAACGCATCCACATCAAAGACGCAGAATCKGAAGTTATTTGTTATTCTAGTTAGCCATGAAACAAATGACTGATGGGCTGTCGTATATTACACGCTAAGAGCTCGAACACAATGAGTTCGGGTTTTCTATAACGATCAGAAAGCCCMTTTTTATTCTTTGTGTCTTGGGAGAGAGCAAATGGAAGAGTCGGTTTCATGACCAAACACATCSCGGAGTAATTTGACGCCAAAACGGTTACTTTTAAGTTTCATTATTTACGATTTTTGTAAATTTGAGACATGTTATACGTAGAACACTTAAAGATAAGTGACACGTGTTTTACGGTTTCTTATTTCTTCAATGTACAGATGGAAGAAAGTTTTTTTTTTGACAACAGATAAAGTTTATAATTTTTTTAACATAAATTGTAACATTTTCAATAAATATTTTTTTACATTTATAATAGTTATTTATTCTACGGGTTTGAGTGTAAATCGGACGCATTATCTCACCGAGTGGATCATCCACGAGCGTCCGATTTACACTCAAATGAGTTGAATACAACATTTTATTCTTCGAATTAGACTTAATAAGGCTTAAAGTTGCATTAAATATGTTAAAAATAATCTGACGTTTCATATTGAGAAATGCCAAACAGTTGTCAAAACTTCCTTACATGGGAGAAAAACCGTAAATTTTGACAGTGTCGAAGAATAAAATGAATAAACATATCTTTGTAAAACAATAAATAAAAAACCGTTTTTATTTAAGAAAAAAAATATTTGTATGGTAATGTCAAAAGTTTAAACAATTAATTAAAATAAAAAATATTTTGGCATCGTTCCTTTACAACCTTTAAACATTGATTAATTTATTTCCAAAAAAACTGGTAGTTTACTCAAAAAAATTCTTTAATTTTTGTAAGTCAAACATTTTTTTAACAAAAAAGTGTGATGTTTAAAAAAAAAATTGGACAGCTACAATTCTTGTAACACGCTTGTTGTCTAAAAACAATTGTGGTAGGTTTCCATTAAAAAAAAAAGTTACTATGTTTATCTCGTAAATATAAACAATTATAAACAATATAAACAATGGTCAATTTTTTTGGAATAGCATTTTTATAGCCATTGCACAGCTATAAATTTATTTGCCAACAAAAATGATAGTTTCGTCAAAATAAAACCGTTTCCAGACTTTTGGACCATTTTGTATATTGAAAAAACAGGAATGTACTAATTAAGTATCTCGAAGCAAATTTTTTTTTTAAACAATACACACAGGGTGCGCCAGAACTCGCGCCCCAGAGAAAAATGCCATATAATGTAACCAGGAACATGGAAAAAATGTTAAAAAAAATTTATCTATAAAAATTTCGATGTTATAAGGGTTTAAAGTTTGCACTTTGACTCTATTTATTTCTGTTGGAAAAATAATTTTCTTAGTTTTTTTGCTATAGGCTATTAAAAGAGGAAACAAAGAAACTGTATCCTAAATTGTAACTCTGTTCAATGTTATTTGTGGCTTTTATGGCAAAATTTTTGTCCCTTTATTAAATAATTGTAAAAAAACATATGAACCTCAAAAATGACCCATAAAATGATGTTAATTTTTATAAAAACTCGTGTCCTATCTCTACTGAGATATACAAGATTATCAGTATCATTAAATAGATAAAAAAAATGTCAAATGTCAAAAATATGTCAAAATTTTTTGACAAATAGAATTTTTTAAACATTTTTTTCATGCTCTTGGTATCTTACCTTACTTGAAAATTTTCTTTGGGGCGCGAGTTCTGGCGCACCCTGTATAAGTAGGTACTCTATAGACGAGGTAATGCATGTATTCCGAAAGCTTGTTATTAACAAATAATTTAAAAATATATCGTTTAAACAAAAAATTTACAATTACATAGGTTTTTAAAATTCTCAAAAAATTCATGTAAAAGCTCTCATGTCTCCATACATAGCCAAATGGCCTCTCGTGTGCAGACCCCAAACAAGCCTCTTTACTGTGATGAAATTTGTAAGTAGAAATTACTTTGAAACAGTGTTGTTCTTAAGTAATTTTTGACAATTTTTAATTTTGAAAAAGACCTTTTATCAGAGTTGAACTCTGATATTGAAAAAAAAAAAAAACTCAAATATTGAAAAATGCAGACATTAAAGTATTTAATACAGTGTGTCCCCAGGTAGGTGAACGACTTTTGTAAAGAATAAAAATTCTCGATTTAAATTTTTAATTTTTGGGGTTCAGCTTCGCTTGGTAAAAAACTAATTCCTTCCCTTAGTTATGAAAAATTAAGTATGCCTTGGAAATTTTGAAAAACCTATTTTTAAAAGGTTTAATATAAATTTACGAGAATATAATAAAAAATTATAATACATTTATTTCATTGAATAAATCAATGTCATCAAGATTTTATTCACTCCGCCCTTTATCTTGTAAATGACATGCAGATTTACAAGATTTTAGAAGTTCATCATCGGAAAGATTGAAAATATTGAAGATAAAGCCAAAAATATTATTATAATTTTGTCTCAAATCTATGACGAAAAGATGATAAGACCTGATTTAGAACACTGAAAAACGGTAATTTTAAAATAAAGTTTAGACCTATTACTACGTCGTCTGCATGATCATTATCAAAATGCTTTGTGTTTCTTCTTGGCCTCACAGTTTGAGGCAATTCAAAAGTGGCTTCAACAAAAAGTTCTTCGCCTAGTAAGTGACGCTAGACTCTTAAAATTTTATAAATGCGTCATTTAATCTAATATTTAAAAAAAAAGTTACTAAATTTTGTAAAAGATTTAAACAAGATTCGGTTAGTTGTTGAACTTAACAACTAACTGAATTTACTTTAAATAGAATATCATACCAAAACACTACTGAAGTTCTCTTATTGTCATTTTCAGAGAATAGGTACAAACTCTTAACTTGAATATGAAACTAATAACAAATTTTTATTATAAACTTGTATTTAGTCGGCTCCATTCAGCAATTCCTTTGATTGCATTTAGGCGCGTATCACCAGGAACAAAGAACTCATTCGTGTAATAAAACAAATGATTATGTAATCTACCATTCATTGAATAAGTTTCTTAGGAAAAATCTCTTAATATGTTTTTGAAAAGAAAAAAATAAAACTAGTTTATTCAATATTTTTTATTATAAATTCTTCTATTTAACTTTATTAATATAAAAATAACAAGTACTATCATTAACAAACTGTTCTAAATAAAACACATAATTTCCAATGATTTATTAACATTTATTTCAAAAATCAATATTTAAAAACAAATTTTTCGGTGGAAGAAGAGTACTCTATATTTTATTCTATTTCCTAATATTAGGAAAAGAGTGTGTAGGTTTCGTATTCCTTTTATGGGGTTTGCTAGACTAAAACAATATTTTTTCTATTTTGCGTCTGAAATCCATGCTTTAATGAGCCATTTTAACATCAATTCAGGTGCTGAAATAGACTAGTACATTTTACTTTCTAGAGGTTGGTAATGGTGATTTTCAGAGGCTTGTGTGTGATTTTTCTTATTTCAGGGGGTGTGCATGAAATGTCTGCAGTATTGATTGTTAATTTAACAAAATTTTAAAAAAAATTGAAACTTGACACTTCGGAAATTGGGACATTTGTTATCAACCACCACCTTATATTATTAGGGCAAAAGTTCCTAAATTTTGAAAAATCGACTTTTATGTTAAAAAAGTACGTCAAACGCGCAAAATAGAAAAAAATCGCAAAAAACTTGTTTTATGAGAACTCATAAATCTGAACTCGTTCCCTTACGAAACGCGTTCTTTAATACACTATTATCTAATTATAAATTGTATATAATTTGTGTGGTTTTATAATAGATAAAAATAAACATTTTCTTGTTTTTATTTTGTACGATTAAATTATAATTAATTGATAAAAACAGTTAAGAAATCGTAACAAATATAAAAATTTTCGTTAAATCACAATGATGTCATTCATAACAATCAGAACTTTTTTTGAAATTCATACAGAGTGATTTTTAAAAAACGGCAGTCGCTCTAGAATTTTTATTTATTGCCCGATTTTAAAGATTAAAAAAAATGACTTGATCTGACAATTTTAGATTTTTTCTAAATGTCAGTGTATTTTGGGCTACATTCAACTTTGTAATTTTAAATTGGAACCCATATTTTTTTCTTCATAATTTGGAAGATTTTAGTTTTCTTGGTAATGACATTCGTATGTTACTAGAAATTAACAAAGCTGAAAAATTAATAAAAGCTTATAACATTTAGTTCCATAGTATAAAATAAAATAATGTCACAAAGCAGCAAATGGGAGAAAATATTGCCAATATTTTTTAAAATTTTTAAATTCGATCACATTTTTTTAGCATTTTAATTTTTTATTAATTATTATTTTCCGAAAACAAATAATTAAAAAAAAACTTTTGGTTCCATACTTTTTGTTCACCTTATACATATAGCAAAAAGTAATATTTGAAATATTTGAAACTACACATCCACATGCATCTTTTGTAAACTACCAAAAGGTACAGTGAGATCAAAAATTATCTTTGTCAAGGTGGTCATAAATTTTAAAATAATTGTCGTAGGTTATGTCATCGATGTCAGTGAGTCAAACATTGACAGAATTATTTCAAAAGGATGATATAAGCAACGACAGACGTTTTCCATTCCATGACCACCCTTAACCAAGATAATTTTTGATCTCACGGTACGTATAAACATTGATATTAAATAAATGAATAAAACATAAAGAAGTTAGAACAATTTAATTTATTAATTACGGTAATGAGTAATTTTATATTTATAATTTCCGAAGAAATGCTACTTTTAGGCGATCCCAGGGTTATATGAACTTTGCAGCGCTTTAAAAAAAATTTTTTTAATCATTTTTAAAACCCCCGTCTTGAAACTTGTATGGAAATATAGTAAAAATCTGAGGACTTTTACATGAAAAAAATGTAAAATAAACAATATGTGCAATTGTTCCTTTAATTCTTTTAAAAATCTTGACCAATCGGTTTGATGGATCGATTTAAAAATTAGCAGGGCTGTGGGGGATACTTTGAGCTGTAAAAACACCTAAAAACATTATTCTCCCCATCAATATTAGTAAATACGCGGTAGATTTACTAAAACAACGCGAAAACTTTTTTCTCTTTTCTTTAAATCAATGTTAAAAAAGGATTTTATAAAGACATTTTTTTTTACACTGAGATATCGATGATCACAGACAAGAGGATCCTTTTCCATTTAAAGTCAGATATCTCAGCAACAAATTGTCGTAAAGAGAATATGAAGATAATATATTAAAGGTAAACAAACATACTATCCGGCCTATGAATTGACTTAACTTAAAAAAATTCTCCACGTACGTGGACCAAAAACAAAAACCTAAAAATTTAGATTTTTTTTTTCTGGTGCTATTAGAATTGCGTGATAACCGTAGCACAGAAAAACTATTTGTCAAAAGACCTCAAAACTTAAAGCTTCAAAATGTTTTTTTTTTAAACTAGCTTCGACCATCTTTGATGAGTTGGGAATGTAGGAAAATTTTTTGTTCCTTTAATTTTTTGGAGTATTGTATTTTTATGCGTTCTCTTTACGATAATCGGAAACAATGAGTTTTAAAAGTGTTCGTTTTGGCGTGGAATTACTCCGATTTTATCAGAATTTGTCAAAATCCACCCACCTGGCAGTTGTCTTCGTCCCACCTAAACCTGCAGTTGTATCTGCCGTTGCATTGCAGCTCCTTGGAGATGCAAGTGTCGTCTTCGCAGCTGAACTCGTCGTCAGTGCACTTTTCGTTCTTCTTGTCGCCGCCCTGCTTGTCGATGTCTCTATAAGCCGTGAAATTCGCCTCGAACTTGGAGTTCTCCGTCGAGTTGAAAACGGCGAAGAAGCGAACGAACATCACGTTTTTCTTCGAGAAGACCGTGTCGGCGATGGACCCGCAGAACTGCTTCTCCATGCTGGGTAAGTCGGTGTTGGTTGAGAACACCTGAACGAAGTTCTTGTCGCATTCGTTCGGTTTGTCCAAGGCGAATGTCTTGAATTGGAGCTGAATCTGAGAGAAAAATTGCATGTAGTAGGTTTGTTGCTAGGCCCTGGAGCTGAAAGATTTAATCTAAAATGTTGTCTTTTCAACCTGATGGAATTTTTAATATAAACGGAACTTTACTTTGACAAAAAATACTTGAAAACAATCATATTTTTAATTTCGCAAAAACGCGTAAAGCAAACCGGGCGATATGCAAATATTTAAAAGAAAGTAACTTGGAGTTGAGTGCTTACGGCGAAAAAGCGATTTAAAAACAAAGTACACCAAAAATTATAAATGAGCAGGATTTATGCGTTATTAGCAGGATCATACGCTTTATGATTATTCGAAATATGTTGTGCCACAGTGTTGGACAATTAATTAAATTAATATCGATCAAGGGAGTAAATCGAAAATGACTAATAACGACGATTGTGTTTGTTTGGTGAACGTCAAAATAGAATTAAAAATTTCTCATTTCAATTAAACGTGAAAAAAATTAGGGCTTCCTTCAAAATCAAGCAGGAAATGATTAATTTTTTCACACAAGATTTAATAAAAATTTGATCACATTTCCATACAAAAAAAAATCTTAAGTTAGGGTTTCAGCTAATTTCTAAGCAACTAATTAAGAAAAATTAACTATCTTAGAGAACCGGGAAACAATGTATTTTATCGCAATTAAAAATTCAATTTTTCAACAGTTTTTTTCCTGAAAGATAAACTGACAACAAATTGAAAATTGTATTAAAAAAAACTGTTAATGAGATTTTCCTAACATATTTTCTTATAAATTTCAGTAGAGTGGACAGATTTCAAGAATTTCAGCTCATATCTAAGAAGTTAATTATTTTATAGACGGGTAAAATTTGTATTTTGGAAAGTAAAATGTTTGCGTTTTTATTTTAAAAAAATTTAATTTTATCGCAATTAAAAATTCAATTTTTTAGCGATTTTTATTTTCACAACAAATTTAAAACCGTTTAAAGAACATAATATATTCTTTAACATTTGCAAAGCTGTTAAGAAACAAAATTTATATACTCCTAGTATTTATATTTTTTAATTAAAACAAAAAACTGTTAAAAGAACCTTCCTAATATATTTTTAGCTTCTTATGGTTCTTGCATTAAATTTTAGTAGTGGACAGATTAATAAAAAGTTAATTAACGTGTTAGAGCTTTATGTTTTGGGAAAATCGCATTTTATGGTAAATTAAAAAAAAAATTTCAGGAGTGTTTTCTTGAAAACAAATTGAAAACTGTTTAAAAGAGTAATACATTTTTTAAGACTTACAAAACTGTTTAAAGAAACAAAATTTATATCCTATATATTTTTTTAACGTAAAAAAACGGTTAAAAAAATATACTATATCTATTTTTAACTTTCTATGGTCTACGAATTAAATTTCAACAGATTTCAAAAATATTTTCACTTTAGTTTGTATGTTGTATGTTCTATTTTCTGTTGCATTTTACATTATTTTATAAGTTCTATTTTGCCGTTGTTATGTACTTTCTTATTTAGCACTTTGTCACAATTGAGAATTTTCCCAAACTATTATTAATTAAAGTGTTACAAGGTATAAATCGTATTGTTATTCAATTTTTGTCTAAATGGCAATGAAATTTCACTTAGCAATTTTACCATCAATTTTTTTGTATACAACTTAAAACACAAAAAGAATTAAATATTTTTTGTAAATAATTCTAATTTTACAGTTTTCCTAATGATAAGCGAACAAAACATTTATTGAATTTGTATTTAAGTAGAAGCAATCAAAACTTACAGTAGGTGTGCTAAAATTAGCTTTTTTCTTACATTTCTTGACTCAGTTTTGAAAAAAAAGCAAGAAAAGATGGAAAAGAGTAGTAAGGCGTATTGTATTAAAATTTAATGGATTTTTACTACCACCCCAACCGAATGTAAGTTTTTTCACCCCAATTTCAAAAAAGAGGTAATAATTTTCCTCCCTCATTTGTCAAAATTACAATAAAAATATACCTCCCAGAGGTACAAATTTTGATTTCCCCCATAGAATCAGAAACTGGGATATCAAGAAAAATTGTTAGGTTTTCAAGTTTTTCTTGATGGATCGTAGGGAAGTTATGTGTATTACTGAAGGAAAATGCCTTTGGAAAATGTACACTTTGCTTCGTTAACAATTACATTTTACACAAAAAATATGAATCTTAACGTTTTTTACTACTATCTGTTAAAAAAAATTAATGAATAATAAAATACTACAAAAATGTGACATTTTATTAAAAATAAAACTATATTTTTTTTAGAAAAACTATAATCTGGGAATTACAACTATTTTTTACAAATATATTTTAAACAATTTTTATGAAAAAAATTCATACGTTGTTATTTCGAAAAAAAACGTAACTCAAGAACAAAACAAAATTTTATTCTCAAAACACGATCACATTTTTTATAGCACCTCAGTTTTTATTAATTATTATTTTCTGAATACAAATGATAAAAAAACGCTTGTTCTTGTTCACCTTGTATATTAACTTGAATTGTTGAAAATAAAAAGAGCTTTTTTTTATATTCTTTATATGTACATACTAGTTAATTTCAAATTGAGGAAATAGTTATTTTGTATTCAGTTCATGTTTTTAAAATTACATAAATGTCGTGATTATTTGTAAACATGTTTACATTTGTTGGATTGATAGGAAACAGGATAGAATTACCATAAACCATAAAATTGAAATATTAGTTGTATTTGAATTTCCAATTGATAATACAGCATTTACTTTAATATTAAATTTGAGAGTAATTTCCACCGTGATTGCCTATTATCGTAAATAAAAAAATATATTGCGATATTGTATTCATTTTAATACACAATAACATGGAAATGCATCAACTAAAATAACAATTACTTTTGATTTCATTATTGTTGAAAATTTCGTTGAAATGTTTGTTATAAACTCGAGTAAAAATCATAAAATAAAAACCTTGCGAAGTGACCCTTGAATATTCATGCACTTTATAGCCCCCATTTCCATATTTTATTATAGTACTGTCGTTATTTACAAGCTACTAGAATTAAAATGTCTCCAATTCGTAATTCAACAATCTCTCAACTCTGAACGATATCCAAGTAGCAATTATTCTCTAATACTAATTGATTGGTCGAATTGCCTTAATTTCGTCTTTCATACCCAATCGAAATGCAACTAATTGCAAATTGGATCCAAGTTGGAAGCAGCGGCGTTTTAAAACTTTAAAATATCAGCGCGGTCTTGACTTGAAACCGCCTCAAACTTTTGCTGATGCAGAAAAACGATTAAGAAGTTTAAGTGAAGTTTAACGTAAGAATTCGCGCCACAAAGCGAATTCAAAATTCCTCGCCTGTATGAATTGTAAATAGGTTGCTTGAACAATTCCGAACTGTGGTTACATGAAACATCGCTCGGCTTTTATTTACTTGGAGAAGTTTGTAATCTATGTTTAGCGAGAGTGGCAGAAGAATAAAAAAATTGATCAAATCGTCAGCAAACTCTCTCTCAACTCACCCTTTGATAATCCTTGACTCTAACTTCCCATATGCAGTCGGTGGCCACTTTGTATTTGTTCCTAAACTCGATGATCTCGGGAGGAATGTCGCTCTTCGTTAGGTTGCCCTCCTCCATGTGAAACTTTTTCAGATGACACATTGGGATATCGGGGACGAGCCCTGCAAAAATGGTCAGCTGATAAAATTTTAAACCGATTTGGAACTCGCTTTAATTTCGGCCGGGATTGTGTGTCAGGTTCAACAGGAAGAATAAAACTTCTCACTTTGCTATAAAAAACAGATATAGTCGAGATCTGGTGACATATGACACGGTTGTTAACTTCTCCCTACGAATCACCCTCGTAAATATAATGGACTCGCACTTGGGCTCTAACGTTTGCAATGATGCAAATAATGGCCAAAATAAAGCCAGAGTTTTTACAACTTTCTAGAAAATAAATCCGTTGTTTTATTCTTGCTAATCAATGTTATCGAAGAGTTTCAAGAAATTGCTCCTTCAAAAAATGTGCAAAAGATTCATGTTTCAACAAATACTAAACTTGGATAAACTGCCAAGTTTTTTGAAATAAATACAAAAATGGTGGCAAAACTATTTATTTATGTCTTTTCAAAATTTGACTTTGCAATTTCTCTTTTTTATTCGAATTTATTTATACTTTATTTATCTCTTGTTTTGATAGCTAGTTACGAAAAAATTAGAATATTGAAATAAAAAAGTCAAAAATTTATCAAACCTTTTTGAAAGAAATATTTATTAAAAAAATATTTCTGACAAAAATGCCAATTTTTATCGAAATAATAGACATAAGGTTATAAAAATAGTGACAAAACCAGTCAAAATAGCCTTATTACTGTATAGTTTCTTTGGCACAGGTGCATTTTTTTAAATGTTGTGTTTTTAAGTTGGTTATTTTTTACAATTCTACTAACGAAATGTTTCTTTTAAATTTGGCGTCAAAGCAATCCATGAAAGTTTGGTTGTGAACGAACCATCGTATTGAAAGTTATTAATATCTGATATTTGACACCTCGCCAGGCGTATTAAAAATTGTGGTCTGTCCACAACACACTCATCTCACCCCCAACTATGACGCCAAATTTAAAATTGAGATTTTATCACAATAATCCTTCGCGTTTTTTCTTTTTTTTGTGTTTTTTCTATTTAATTTATGTATACATTATTTCTGCATCATGCAGCTATAGTTACAAAAAAATAAATTTTCGAAAAAAAGTCAAAAATTGATTAAATTCTAAAAAAATATTTATTAAAAAATAATGTATGACTAAACTGTCAATTTTTTTTTGAAATAGGGGACTTAAGCTTTAAAAGTTATAAAAATAATGAAAAAACATACCAACTAAACGTATTAATTCAACTTTTTTTAGCACAAATGCATTTTGTAATAAATATAATTTTTTAAGTTTTCTTTTATTTTTGTTGCCAATAACAAAGGGTATTTATAATTTTTGTATTTTTTTAAATTTGTATTTTTATCACCTTTATAGCCTCTTTTCTTTCAAATTTATTTACGTATTAACACTAGTTTTGATAACTAATTACAAAAATTTTATTTCGAAATAAAAAATCACCAACTAATTTAAGAAACGTACCTAAATATTTTTTGTTTTGTAAGAACGTAGGCTTTCGCGGGCAGAGTCAGGTTAAATTCTGGGTCTTTCTGGGTTAGACCGCGTCAAAAAATGTCGACGTTTTGCCTTCTCTTAGGGCATCTTCAGGACAAGAAAATGGAGAAAAAGGAGGTTGTTTTAATTTGTTTCGCAATTTCGTAATTTATCTCAGTATTTTATTTTTAGACAATTTTTTTGATATTGTTTTTTAGTTAAATGACAAATAAAAAAACTTTATTTTTTTAGAAATATTTTCTTGAGTAATATCTATCTATTTTGAAAATGAACAAATTATTAAGATTTTAAATCTTTTTTTAAATTTATTTATTTAAGTATGTACAGTCGCGTGCAATATTTATATTTATATTTTTTGGCAAACTTATTTTTGTATAATATGAAAATTCGTGCCATAATTTTAGCGATAATAGAAAGTCAATGCACATTTAAAATATTTTCGATTTTTTGAGACAAAAAAAAATCAATAACAAAGAGTAAATTGCAAATTTTTTTCCATAAAAGAATATTTTTTAGTGTCATTAACGACCAAAATTTTTTGCACGCGACTGAATTTTTTTTTCAAAATTTGATTTTTTTAGAGTTTTCTCTTTTTTGGAATTATATTTAAATTTTATTTATGTATCATTTCTAGTTTTGATAGCTAGTTACAGTTGAATTTTCTGGCATTTGAAAAACATTATTTTACCCGGATTTCTGTCTAGACAAGCTTTTTGGCCAATTTTTTTGACATTTTTTTTGTCACCTACTTAATTAAATGATAAGTAAGAAAGACAGTTATTTTTCTTATTTTTTTTTTCCCAGCAACTAACTGTATTTTTATTAAAAATATAAATCGTTATTTATTTATTTATGGACATCTCTCACTTGGTACAAATAAAAATAAATGAAACAAACTTTAAAATTGGTAAGAAAATACTAATAGCAATTATTTAAAAATAAAAAAAACAAATTCGTTTTAAATCTTAAATCGTTTTTTCATTTGCAACTTTCGAGTTAGATTTGTTATGTTTTTCTGTCAATTTTCCTATTTCCCGAGAACTAGGTTGTGCAAGAAGGGCCTCGAACACAATTTCCGACTTAATTCCTTCCACTTTACTAGTATATTGAACGAGAACAGTTCGAAAGAGTTTGAAATTTGCTTCGATTCATAAACCTTTGCCGTTGCCCTTCCATTACCATTTGAAATGCTAGAAATTTCTCTTAACGGTGGTCTTTGCTTTAAGTTCTTTGAAATTCGTTATTTACTTACGCTGAACAGACGTTCCAAACGTTGCGTTTTACATTTTCTCCTCCCCRATGCGATTCTATCTTTATCTTTTTATTAATTCATTCTTAATTCCAATCCTCTCAAGCCGTCAATGCTCGTTTTGTATCAAACGAAGGATCACAATACAATAGAAATACATCGAAATAATACCTCTCTGTGTCTCTTTTATTATTTATTTATCGATTCGCGAATTCAATACTAAAACGTACCTCGTATTGGTCGCTTTTTGTTAAAGATATTACGTTTCAGCTGCTTGTCTCTCGACTATTTCCAGATGAAAAGAAAGAAAATGTGACTGAAATTAAGTCCTACTTACGGCGACGCTTCCATTCCATTACAAGTCTGCATGCAGATGCTTTAGGTATTGTAGTTGTTTGCAATGAAGCAATGTACTTAATGCTCGCAACTTGAAAATAACTAACTTCAACAAACAAAAAAGCGACAGCGAATCTGAATTAATAAAAAGTGCTAACCACAGAGGGATCTGCGATTAATCACCGAGCTGAGTGGAATACGCAATTCGCAATGAAAGCGATGAAAAATTAATGAACATTTATTTTCACTATTTTATAACATAATAAAATTGAACAAACACTGAAACTACTAAGTGAAAAAATGGAAACGTGCTGAATAAAATCAAATTAATTAACAAACTTAAATGAGTAATTAGTTTTTGTATCTTTTTATTGTTATTTACCATGAATAAAGCTTAAAAAAATTTTGTTATTTGACTTTTTGATCGAGTAACAACAAAGTTATTAAAATAAGGGTTATTTCAAATTCAGCTAATTATCATTAGCTGATCAAACGTAATTAAATGTAGTATACGTAACTACATATCTATTTCACAGACCATAGAAATTCTAGTTTAATCAGTTTAAATCGAATTGCTCTATTGTTCCATTTACGAAGGGTCGTAGGGCCTAACGAGGTTAAGGGTTCGAATGATTGAATGTTTCAGTCAAAAGTTAATGGAACAAACAATAGAGCACAAATGTCAACTAGGTATCAAGTTGTATTAATAATTTATTAATTAGATAAAAAATAAAACATCAAATAATTGTAATTTTTAGGTTCATCAAAGTTTTTGGATGAATAATTAATTTCCTGTAAAAGCTCTCTTTTTTCGAAAAATTACTCTAAATAGAATTTTTTAACGAGGTTAAAGGTTTCGATAATTGAATGTTTCAGTCAAACATTAGTGACACAAATGTATAATAGTATTTATTAAGAAATTAAAGCAATTTTTAGTTTTGTGAAAAATGGTGGATGCGCCGGGATAAGTTTTCAAATTAAAACAATTTTGTTTTAATATGATTTTTAAATCATTTATTGGAAAAATAATTTTCACGTTATGGAATTTTAAATTATAATTTAATTGGTTTTCTGTAAAAGCTCACTACTTTTTCCTAAAAATTACTTTAGATTTTAGAACTATAACTTTATAACGAGGTTAAATGTTTCGATAATTAAATGTGTCTGTCAAAAGTTAGTGACACAAATGTGTAATAGAGCACAAATAATAATTAATTACAAGACTGTATAATTATTATTAATTAGATAGTGTTTATAAAAAAAATTAAAGAGCAGCATTTTTTAGTTCTGTCAAAAATGGTGGTTGCGCCGGGATAATTATTAAATATAAAACAGATTTTTGTTTTAATATAATTTTTAAACAATGAATTGGCAAACTAATGATAATAGTTTAAAATTTTAAATAAAAAATGTAAAATGTAAAATATTACTAATGTTTCCTAAAAATTATTCCATATAAAATTTTTGCGAGGTTAAAAGTTTCGATAATTAAATGTTTCAGTAAAAAGTTAGTGACATAAATGTATAATAAAGCCCAGGATAGTATTTATTAAAAAATTTAAACAATTTTTAGTATTGTCAAAAATGGTGGATTCGCCGGGATAACTTTTTAAAATAAAACAATTTTGTTTAAATATGATTTTAAAATCATTTATTAAAAAATGTAAAAGCTCACTACTTTTTCCTAAAAATTATTTTAGCTAGAACTTTATAACGAGGTTAAAGGTTCCGATCAATAAATGTCAAAAGTTAGTGACACAAATATATTAATTAGGTACAAGACTGTATAATTATTATTAATTAGATAGTGTTATAAAAAAAATTATAAAGCGGCATTTTTTAGTTTTGCCAAAAATGGTGGATGGTGGGGTAATTATTAAAAATAAAACTGATTTTAGTTTTCATATAATTTTTAAACAATTGTTGGTAAATTAATTATAATTGCGTAAAATTTAAAATTTAATTGTTTTCCTGTATAAGATATGTATAAGGTTAGAGGTTTCGATAATTAAAGTTTTCAGTCTAAAGTTGGTGACACAAATGTATAATAAAGTACACTTGTGTCAGCTAGGTATAAGGCTGTATAATTATTAATTTGATAGTGTTTTTCAAAAAAAGTTGAACAGCGACATTTTTAGTCTTGGCAAAAATGGTGGATGCGCCGGAAAAATTTTAAATTAAAACTATAAATGTTTTTTGTAAAATCTCGCTATTTTCCCCTAAATTATTTTATATATAATTTTGGAACTTCCTAAAAAAATCGTTTTTTTTGTTGAGAATGTTTCACATTCTCTAGTATAATTAACTTAGTAATTAATTTACATATTAATTATAATTAGTGTGAAATTTCGTTTGTAAAAATTCGCTATTTTTTCCCAAAAATTATTTTGGATACAATTTGTTAATATTTACATACATTTAAATTTAAAACTGTTAAGCTGAAAAAAATCAGCTCCTTCCTTTGATCAGTGTTGAACTTTCATTTTTGCATTTGGATAAGTTTTGAGAGTGTACATCAGTAGAAAATAATATGTTTCAACATTTTAGCTTTAAAATAAATTGCATTTATAAAAGTCATGCAACGTTGTGGCTCCTAAATGAAATGTTTTCGCTTTGAGTGCTTTGATTATTGTGCTATTGTAGCAATCTAATGTAATTTAAATAGTAGCTTGACGACCAGTGGTCACGCTTAAATTGCTCGAACTCTGGGAACAAATTACGTAAAATTTGTTCTCGAACAAAGCTCGAAACAAAGAGACTAAATCTCCGGCACAAATTACAAAAAAAGTGTTACCATTAATCTAAGTGAGCGAAATTTTCAGGAGCAATGATTTTTAGAGTGCTAGCAGAGATTATTGACTATGCCTTAAAGTGTACAAGTTACAAGGAAAGCGATGTAAATTTTTCACACAACTGAAAAAGTTTTCTGAAATCATTAATACTCACATCCTGTGGGCCTGGGCAAGAACTCGTATACCGCCCTGAAGCCCTTATATTCGATATTTTCATCGGACCTGAAGTGAATCCACAAATACCGATCAGAGGACTCTATCACTGGCGGAAACTCCTTCCCGCAGAACTTCTTCTCAATCAGCTGGTTGTATCCATGAAGGCCGTCCCTGATCTCCAGGAAATCATTCGCGCAGTCGGGACTCCCCTCCATTTCGAAATAATCCCGAAAATCCAGCCTGATAAAGTGTGCCGCAGGAGCTGAAACAACTCAGACGTATAAAAATTTGATTTGTTTCAGGGGCATGGAAAGCACTCGAAACATTTTCACCCAAGGGCGAAATCAATTAACGATGCAGAATTTTTCACCCCCTGAAAAAGAAATCGGAATATTTGGCCTGAAATCGAATTACGGTTTAATTAGTTAGGAGATATGGAAACATCGAAATGCTCTCGCGCTTCATTTTGTTTATTTATTCATCTCGACTATTATTTTGTTAATTAATGAATGAATGTTTTAGGTGCATTATAATTTTATTACTGCATTTTATACCGACATTTTTGAAGATGCGAAGGGGTGTCTTGAGGGTTCAATTATATTTTAGAAACAACCAAATTAAACTTTGTATACAATTATGACTTCAGAAGATTCAAAAATCTTTTCTTTTTTTATTTTGGAAATTGCGGTAAACGTCAAACGTTGTGCATTTATACAGGGTGTCCCAGCGATTTGAAAAAGTCCATTAGTGAACTTTAAATGGTAAAATTAAAAAAAATATAAGACATTGATAGATACCAATCTAGTCCATCGCCTATAATTATTTTCAACTATACAGCGCGTCTCAAAAATAAGCTACAATACAAACTGTGTTTTTTTAAATAAAACACAATATGTTTCTTAGCGTTTTTGGATGTAGATTTTTAAGACATTGTTAAACTTTTATTGGTCAATTTTTCCTAGTTTTAAAAATAAGGCGATTTTTTTGACGAAAACATGCACTTTTTAAAATATATTACACAAAAACTAAGACATCTAGAATATTTTTTTTTTACTGTCGCAAAGAAGAAGGTACACGATATTAGGTTGTAACATTTTTTTAGTGTGTTGCATTTGCAAAGATAAACAAATGAAGGCGTTTGTTAAAAGTTCAATAACTTAAAAAAATTAAATAGAACACCCTATTTATTGTTTTAAAATCAAAGATACTTTAATGCAAAAATTGTCTCTTTATTCTAAAAATTAAAGGTGAATAAAAAGTATGGAATCAAACGTTTTTTGCCTAAACTATTAATTTTTTGGAAAAACTAATTGATGAACGATAAAGTACTTTAAAGATGTGATGTTTTATTAAGAATAAAATTTTTCGAAATTTTCTATGGTTTTTGAGTTTTTATTTTTTTAAATAGAAACTCCATATAAAACTATTTTTCTCATAAAGGTTATGATCTAAGGATTACAACTATCTACTTCATATCTAATTTTTTCAAAAAAAAATTTTTTCATAAATTGCAACTTTGTCTAAAAAAAAACGCATAACTCATAAACAAGACAAGACGTTAATTTATATTAATTATTATTTTCTGAAGACAAATGATTTTAAAAAAACCGCTTGGTTCCATACTTTATATTCACCCTGTTTAAACAATCTCACCTTAGGAAAATACAAAATTCACAATTCTTAAACAATGAAATTTTTTTATCGTAGTTTAAATAATGAAGAATCATTAAACAATGGTGTGCCCAATCAAGATAATTTAACCCAATTTGGGAAAAACATTTGGGTTGAGGAAAAAGATTTTAACATGTCATCATCTTGGTTAAATCTTATTAACAGAAGTTTCAACAAAAAATGACATGCCATCTTTCCAGATTACAAATGAAATTTTAATAAAAAATATAATTAAATCACATAATTGGAAATCTCCAGGAATTGACAAAATTCACAATTTTTGGTAAAAAAAAAGTTTACTTGTGTACATTCATTACTTTTGTGGCATTTTAATAATTTTATTATAACGTTAAGCTGTCCTGAAAGAGGAGATGCTATAAGAAAACGGGGGAATGTTTTGCACTTTTTTTTATTAACTCTGTAAATATTGGGGTGTTGAAAACCGAGGGACTTGAATAAGACTTTTGCGTTTTTACTTGTTTTATAGCCTTTTTTGGGTTTTACTAGGTTTTTAAAGTGCCTAATTGTCCTAGTCAAGCACTAATATTTTGTCTTGAAAAGTAATGGTAGATATTGGATCTCTGATTTTTCTTTTCTGATATATTTCTTTATTTTACAAATTATTATTACATATCCTGGTCCATCATTGAAAAGCCATTTTGGGGTATCTAAAAATGAGGAACTTTGACCTTTTTTTCAATAATTTTAATAATTTTTTGGGACAAAATTCCTTAATTTTCATTGGATTTTTAAAGTGCCCAAATGCCCTGGCCCAGCAATACAAAAATCCATTTCGGGGCGTTGAAAACCGAGGGATTTGGATAAGATGTTTGACTCCTTTTCAGCAGTTTTCCCAGGTGTTCATTTTTTGGTGGTCTATTGATTTTCGAGTATTTTTTGGGCGCATAAAAAATTATGATTTTTGAAGGATTCATGTCTTTTTCGGTTGTTTACTTTAGAGAAAATATATAATTTTTTTGTATTCTGCCTTGTTTTGTAAGATGCCAAATATACCTCTTTGATTTGGTGTTGTTTTTTTGGCATGCGCTAAATGGCTTGGTCCAGAAATAAAAAACCATTTTAAGGTGTGTAAAAACTAAGTATTTTGTTAGTTTTTTAGGGCGTTCTTGAAGGAATTTTGCAGATTTCAACAGTTTTTTCGTGTGTCCAATTTTTGTTGGTCTACAGATATTTGGAGTGCATAAAAATTAATGCGTTTTTAAGGGTTTTAGGCCTTTTTCGGTTGTTTGCTTTTGGGAGAACAGCAAAATTTTTAGGGTTCTGCTTTGTTTTATGAAGAAAATGTTCTGGTCCATAGGTGAGGTGCTTAAAAACAAGGCATTTTGTAAGTTTTTTAGATCTTTTTCGGATGTTTACTTTTGGGAAAACAGTAAATTTGTAGGACTCTACCCTGTTTTTGCATTTGCCCAATTTTTGGTGGTCTACAGATATTTGGGTACTTTTGGGGTGCATAAAAATTAATGCTTTTTAAGGGTTTTAGGCCTTTTTCGATTGTTTGATTTTGGCCAAACAGCTCAATTTGTAGGATTCTAAGACGCTAAATGTCCTGGTCCAGAAGTAACATTTTATATACTACTGAACTTTCTCATAATTAAATTTGTTTGGTTTGATCGTTAAACCGAAACAAAATAAACAAGGGTCAGTTTGCTGTCTCGAGATTTATCAAGGGTTTCACTTTGTCATACAAGAAATTTCATTTGCGACCGATTTTTTAATCCAGATGAAAGGGATAAATCTAGTTTAAAATGTAAGTGCTGGATGAGTTTGTAACTCAATAATATTGTTTTCAGTAACGAAGCGAGTCGCTGATTCGAAATCCATTACAAGTTATACGAAAAAGAACGGCTGAAAACGGGGAATTTGAATACGAATCGGTCAATGCTGCAGGAGAAAAATAATTAGAATTCGATTAGGGACCGGAAAATCAATCAAGAAGAGAAATTCCGTGTATGAATCTTTTCAGTGTTTAAAATTTTCCACACCTCTCCTTGCCTCTGTTTACATTTGAAACTTCCAATTAAAGAACCAAACTGAACGCTTTTATTCTTGTTTGCATTATTTCGCTTAATCGGCTCCTGAACCCTTCTCATTCTCACCCTTGTTCATTTTTCCCATTTCTTCGCCTCCTATCTTGCGAAATTAGTGCGTGTTTTCGTTTGAATACGTTCTGTAACCGCGATTTATAATACAGATAACGCGACTAGATTAAAGCAGAGTCGTATGAGCAACGCCAGTAATAAATAACCGAAACGTGCGAAAAATCGGAGAGGAGAAGATTGGATTTATGTTGGAACAGAACTTGATTAATTGCTCGACAGTTGTAATAACTGAAATACAAGTTTAACAGTGCAATTGGCTCAAGGAGTTTGTCTAAAGTTTGCAAAGTCACGAGAGACTTGTTGAACTTGATTTAGCAAGAGGTCAGAGGTTCAAGAAGGAATTATCAGCAAACGGGTTATGTTTTTATACGCAAACGTCACAAAAGTGACCACTTTTATGACTAAATGCAGTAAAAATTTTGTTTTGTTGCCTAAGCGTTCCTACTTTTACCATGACATTAGTGACGTTTGGTTTTTTAGACATTTCGACGTCAGAAAATCATAACCGTAGAAGCTTAAAAAAAATTATGTTTATTTTTTCAGTCAATTCACACATATTTAAAAAAAAATCAATAGGTTTTAAAGTTGTAATTCAAAATGGTATATTGTTTTTTAGGAGTAAAAACATCGTTTTTGTGACGTGTCTGTAGACAAAGACTACAGCAAAATAATTAATTTTTTTATTTCTGTTTATTTATTATTAAAAAACAAGCCATACTGCTAAGTCTATTAATTAAGTATCAATCATGTATCGATACAAACAAAATAAAAAGCAAATTAAATAATTTGGTTT